TTTTTTTAGTGTTCACTGAATCTTGAGTAGATTTCACACTTGTATAGACGAGTTTGTTATCACTAAAAACCGCATCAGATCACGAACTTGCTTGTGTTTGTCTTTAGCTTTATCTTCGATTTCATGAAGAATACTTATCTTTGAGAGAATTATAATACATGTTTAGTGATCACTGAATAGACTCAGTGATGATCACTGAAGCTGAATACAATGATAATACACTTCGTAAGGTATAAAGGATCATTATCAAATAACTGAGAAAAAGGATCAACAGTTTTGTCACGACATCCATAGTTAACTCCTCTCACTTCCATACAGGTATATAGAGAGGCTGCAAACTCCCATACGGTTACTGATGTTCTGCCTTTACTTGTAAACAAGTAATGTAGCGCTCGACGAATCAATCGATATCACTCTTCATTCCTAGCCACCAATAATCATCACGTAGATCATGGTACATCTTTATACTTCCAGGATGAACGAATAGCCTCCATTTGTGTGCCTCTATCAAAATAATTTCTCATAAACCACCAAGTCTTGGAATCCAAATTCGGGTCTTAAAGACTTTGAGACTACGACTATCTTCGGATAAGGAATCCATGTAACCAACCATACTCTCGGATTTAATATGTTCTGGTTTTGAATATTCAATTTACCATTTATGAATATCATCTATGAGCGTAGACTTAATTGATAGGTGAGAGATAACATAGCAACTCGATCCTACATATGTCTTCTGGCTAAGAGCATCTGTCACTACGTTAGCTTTTCCTGGATAATATAGGATTTCACAATCGTAGTCTTTGATGAGTTCCATAGCACACTGTTGTCGCATATTCAGGGTATGATGATCGAAGATGTACCTCAGACTCTTATGATTGGTGTACAATTGGCATTTTGTGCCATATAGATAGTGACGCTAAAGTGTAAGAGCAAACACGACCACAACCAACTCAAGATCACGAGTCGGGTAATTCCGTTCATATTCCTTCAATTGCCGCGAAGCATAAGTGATCACCTTTCCTCGTTGCATTAATACACAACCCAAGCTCGACTTTGATAAGTCAATATATATGATAAGTGTTAATTTATTAACCTTATTACATCATTTTCTTAACTATTTTCCTTTGTTTTATTTGCCCATTAGTGTCTTTATTGAGTCTTTTTATGTCTTTTTCATATATTAGTAGTAATATAGTATATCTAATGTTAATTCCCTATTTTTACAGGTTTTTGATGACTTTTGGGCCCAGTCCTACGGCAGTGCTACAGGACCAGGAGTGGCAAGGTCCTATAGTACCTGTCCAAGAGCTGAAATTCTGCTTGGACCGTGAATAAATGGGCTGATCCATAGAAGAGGCATGGTCAACGACCTTGGGCCCGGTCAAAGCCCAGTTTTGAAGAAGCTTTTGTCTTATTAGTTAGCACCCACTATGTGAACTTCCTTAGCTTATATAAAGAAGACTTAAGGCTTACTTTTCACCCACCAATTCACAACAATTCTCCAATTTACTTGCTTTCTTCCATTTGATCTTTGTTAATCACTTTCTAAATTATTGCTTTTGATTCCAAGTTTTCGGTTTTCTTTGTTTGTCTTTTCAAGAATCAACTTTTTGTAGTTGTGATTTCATTCTCAAGTTTTAATTTAAGTACTCGTATTTAATCTTCATCTCATTTCTGTTGCAAGTTACGTTACGTTTTCTTATTTTTTATTACCAGTTACGAATTAGTCGATCATTGTTGCYTTACATYGRATCTCATCCTTTGTGGCTCACGACTAATTTACATAGACTAAATAATCTGTTTTTACGAGTTTGAAAGTAACMTTTCGGTCTTTGTAACGAAACTTGTTCTGCAAGTTTCGTTACTTGACTTGCAAGTTTTCTTCAAAGTCAACTCCTATTTCCAAGGTTTTTCAAGTGTCAATTCTTAATACTTCAAAAGTCAAACCCAACTTCCAAGGTTTTCATTAGTCTTTCCTCCATCCCATCAAGTACTTTCTTTCATTATTACTAGATTAAAATTAATTAATAATATTTAGTTATTAATAATTTATATTTCAGTATTTATATTTCAGCATTTATATTTCAGTCATTTATATTTCAGTCATTTATATTTCAGTCATTTATATTTCAGTCTTTACATTTCAGTCTTTACATTTCAGTCATTTACATTTCAGTCTTTACTTTACTGCAATTTACATTTCTGTCATTTAATTTCCAGTATTTTACTTTCAGTCATTTATATTTCAGTCATTTAATTTCCAGTACTTTACATTCCAGTATTTCCATTTCTTGTAATTTACTTTCTGTAATTTACTTTTTGTAATTTACTTTCTGCAATTTACTTTTCCGTATCAGTTATTTATTTTTCAGTCCTTACATCCTTCGAGAGAAGAAACCGAGCGATGATGGGCTAACGCCTTAGCTTGGGGTGTAACGGGAAATTAAGACCAAAACCGATGTGAAAGTACAAAGGTGTCTTTTTAGCATTATAGTCTACTATTTATTTCAGGTGCTTAATATTTTATTTGATGATTACATTAAAATTAATTGACAACTAATTTTATATATAAAAATGTATTGACTTTCAAAACCTGAGGTAATAGGAGAAGGCTATAAATAGCTTTAGTGTCTGACAAACGCTATACTCCTACGGTGTAGGATGGTAACACTGTGTTGTGCTAGGATTCACGACGTCTAACATAAATGATATCGTATCGATAGCACGTTGACCGTTGTGTGCTCTTGGGAGGCCGCCTGACCGATAGTTGATACTGTCATAGTTATATAAAATCATTTATTGATTTTAGATAATTATGACATGAATGCTATGTCACCTTTTTGCTGAATCATTTGTTTAATGTCTTAATCAACTGTTGCACCATGTGCTTCTTTTTAAGATTGATATTTTTCTTAGTTGTTAATCAAACCTCCCCATTTTAGATAAATCAAATCCTCGATTCGTCATCTGAAACTAGTTTTTACAAACTGGACTTTTGAATTAACTTTACAAGCTATCTCTGTGGGAACGATATCTGGTACTTTTTACCATTATTACTTGTTACGAGACGACAGTAGTTCGACGTGTATACTTGCGCCGAGTTCTATTTTTGTGTTGAAATCTAAGGTTGAATAAACCGACGAGCAATATACCACGAAGTCATCATTGCCCTCAGGTAAGGCAAGAATTGGTGCATGAGTTAGACAATCTTTCAAAGTTTGAAACACGCTTCGAACCAAACAAATTTCACATCTTTGTGTGTAAGAGAAGTAAGAGGTACGACGATCTTTGAGAAATCCCATGTAATAGACCGAGAAAACTACGAACTTCAGAGGCATTCTTGGGTTGTTCCCATTTCTGTATCGCCTCAATCTTGGATGGATCCATAGAAACTCCCTCACAAGAGATCATATGTCCTAAGAATTGTACCCGATGGAGCTAGATGTCGCATTTTGGCGTATAGCCGCTCATTTCTCAAATTTCCAACACCTCTTGAAGATGTGTAACATGATCAACTTCCGTCTTAGAGTACACCAATATGTCATCAATGAAGACGATGACAAACCTATCAAACATTGGATGACACACTCGATTCATTAAGTCCATGAATGCAGCTAGTGCATTAGTCAAACCAAATGGCATAACTAGAAATTCGTAGAGCCTATATCGGGTATGAAAAGTTGTATTGGGACATCTTCCTCACGTACCCTTAACTAATGGTATCTCGATCTTATATCAATCTTGGAGTAGTAACTTGCTCCCTGAAGTTGGTCAAACAGATCGTCAATATGCGACAAAGGGTATTTATTCTTGATGGTTACCTTGTTTAGTTCCCCGTAATCTATGTACATTCGAAAGAAACCATCTTTCTGCTTCACGAATAAGACCGGGGCACCCCACGGTGAAGTGATCGGTCGAATGAAACTCTTATCCAACATCTCTAGTAACTGGCTCATCATCTCTTTCATTTCAACTAGTGCGAGACGATAAGGTGTCCTAGCAATAGGAGCGGCACCGGGTACCAGATTGATCCGGAACTCTATTGCCTGTCCGGTGGTAGTCCAGGGAAAACATTTGGATACTCGCATATGATCGGTACATCTTTCATAGTATTTTCTGCTTCTTTCGACGCATCTAGAACATATGCAAGAAAAGAAGAACATCCCTTAGATAAATAACGCCACACTGTTAACATAGAGATTACCTTTATGTCACTGGTTCGTCATTCACCGTAAATGTATAAATAAATCCCGTTGTCAATTGGTATCTGAATCATCCCCTGAGAGCAAATAATATCAACATGGTTCCTTGCTAGCCAATCCATTCCAATCATAACATTAAAGCGGAGAATATCTATCGGTATCAAATCTATTAAGAACCCATGATCGTCTAATACTAGAATATAGTCCCTATATACTTTAGTGCTTCATGGATCTTCTTTGGCTCTACCATGCTTAGAAAGTTTACAAATAAACATTCGTTTGCAGTGACAGTTCTCGTTTTGACACCTTGTGAAGGATTACTAATTATTTGGTGTGAGGGATGGTCTTTCATCCATCTTGTCATGGGAGGATGTACTGTAGGTGGAGTTCTGAAATCTTGTTCAATAGGGATGTTTGACATTGTGTCCCTTATTGGTGATGATGGCTCTGCATGCTCCCCCTTGGATTGTGGCACAGAGAGAACAGGTTCAGATACACATATGGTATTCTCTAGATCTAAGGGATTGGGCTCTGATGTAGAGCTGTTAGGCTCTGGTTCTGAATCTGAAAGGTTACAAGTGGGAATAGAAGTGTCAGAAAGGCTAGAGATAGTTGTACCTGACGGTTGTGTCTAGTATTTTTTTGAGTTCGATATTATTTTAGATAATAAAAACTATATATTAATTTTTTTTTCTTCATATTATGGAGAGTTTTTTTTTTCATCTTGCCCGAGTTCTATAAAATATGAGGAACGAGCCTCGGCTACCAATTAGAGTCCATTGTCTGAAGTTTTGATGTCAAATTTTATCGATGGCGACCACCAATTCAGCCACCCGAAGTCCAAACACACCGAGGAGAATTTGCAGTGTCTGCGAGAGGCCAGCGACCGTGTGCTTATGTGACTCAATTCCGGCTGAACCACTCTCCACCGCCACGCAAATCGTAATCCTGCAGCATCCACACGAGCAACGCCACCGACTCGCTACGGTCCCCGTGCTCAACAAATGCCTCCGAAACTGCCAAACACTAATTGGCCGTCGATTACGACGCGGTGATTCGGCTCTTCTCGACTCTCTCCATGACGCTGCCGCCGAAGAGAACCCTAACCAATCTCTTCATGCGGCGTTTCTTTTTCCTGGTATGGTTCCGACTATTCAGGATTTTTTGTATAGATTCTGATGATGATCTTCTAGTTAATGTACATTGAAACATCAATCTTGACATGCTATGGAAATGAATTTGTCTCAATATGATACCAGTCACTTCTCACAAACTATGAGAGTTCAACCTTCACATAAATTTGATTTGATTGAACAGAAACACTCCAAATGTTGAAAATTGAACAGCAATAATACAGATCATTGATATGCATAAACTGCTAAGTTGTAGGGTTTTAAGAAGTATATATAGAGCAAAGGATTACATGACTTTAATATTTAAGCTGAATAATAAAAGATCTTTTAATAGTCTTCTGATGTTAAGGTTATTATGGTAAACAACAAACAAAAATAGCACCAAGAAACAAAAGAGATTGAACAGAGAGATTTAACATGATATTACAATTGATCACAACAGAGATATGTATAGCACAAAAGGGGGTTTATTTATGGAAGATAAACAATCCCACAATCCTAGTGACTTACTCAATCATAGGGGATTTGATTATTTGGTTAAATCTTAATTGATTTACCAAGGTCTATAATACGCTCCCGCAAAATGGACATGCCATCGGCAACATAAATTTTTAAATGTAAAGATTCAAATCGAGCGTGAGGTAATGCTTGGTAAGAAGACCAGCTAGCTAGTCTGTAGTATTCACATAAGCAACCGTGAGAAGTCCCTTGGAGGACAGGTCATGAACAAAGTGTATGTCGATAGCAATATGCTTCATTTGAGAATGTTCAACCAGGTGAACTGCAAGTTGTGTCTCCCCCATATTGTCACATAGAAGGCGAGGTTTAAGCCAAAGAGACAACCCAAGATCTTGGAAGAGGTGAACAATCCAACATACTTCAAAGGCAGTGGAAGCAAGTGCTCAATATTCTGCTTTGGTGGATGAGTGATAACACCAGTTTGCTTACAAGACCGTCAAAATATCGGATTTTGGCCTAAAAATATGATATAGGCAGACGTGTTCTTGCCATCATTGAAGTCTCCACCAATATCAGAATTAGAGTACGCTGTGAGCGCTATATCAGAGGTTGGTTGACAAGTAAGCCATGATGAAGGGAGCCTTTAAGGTAACAAAAAACCCGTCTAATAGCTCCCCAAGCACCAGTAGTGGGAGAAGCCGTAGACTGAGCAAGACGGTTTACGTTGACAAAATCCGATACCATATAATAGAAGAAATGCGTGGTGGAAAGATGATATTTTAATTGATCACAACCGATATATATATATATATATAGAGAGAGAGAGACTTGGGATCACATGAGACCAATCTATTTTCGTGAGACCTGTGAGACCACTTTTTTACACTTGAAACTTCACATTAAAACTCTTCACAGTGTTTTTGTTGTGAAGGTTCGGTCTTTTTTACCTTAAGAGCGTTTTGCTGTGAAGCTTCAAGTGTAAAAATTTGGTTTCATGGGTCTCATGAAAACAGACCGGTCTCACGTGAACCTAACCCTATATAGATATATACTTGCGATCATGTGAGATCAGCTTGTTTTCGTGAGACCAATGAAACCATCTTTTTACACTTGAAACTTCACAGACCTTCACCACGTTTTTGCTATGAAGGTTGAGATTTTTTTTTTACCTTCACAGTGTTTTTGCTGTGAAGTTTCAAGTGTAAAAATGTGGTCTCACGGGTCTCATGAAAACAAGTTGGTCTCACGTGAACCCAACCTTTTATATATATATATATATATATTGGTTATTATACAACCCTTTACATTTGTACAACCAATACAACCCAATCTCAACCGTCCATTTAATTTGATGAATATGTGATTTYATAGAAGTTTTGATTGTTTCCTAATATAAAGTATTGATCATAATTAATGAACTCTATTCATCTTCCATAAATATTCAAATCATAATAAATAAACTCTCATCATTTTTATAAATATCTCAATTAATTGGGTTGCATTGGTTGTACAAATGGACATGGTTGCATTTGAAATATACCCTATATATATATGGTACAAAGGGGGTTTATTTACGAAAGATAAAACAATCCCACAATCATAGTGATTTACTCAATCACAGGTGATCTGACAGTCGATCTGATAATTTGGTTAAATTTTTAATTGATTTACCAAGATATCTAATAGAAACCCCTACTAAGGAGGTAAATTCCACCATCAGACAAAGATTTCAGGAGATGTTTACTCAAAACCAAACCCCGATTATACCTAGAAGATAAAGCAATCCCACAATCATAGTGATTTACTCTCTCACAGGCGATCTGACAGTCCATCTGATAATTTGGTTAAATTTTTAATGGATTTACCAAGATATCTAATAGAAACCCCTATGAAGGAGGTAAAATCCCACTCGTAATCCACCATAAGACAAAGATTTCTGGAGATATTTACTCAAAACCAAACCCCGATTATAGCTAGAGAGGCATAGTTTAATCTCTTAAAATCAAAACGAGAAGTTATGTGCAATTTAAATACTAGGGCCACCACTGAAATCAATTCTCAAATTGGTAGATTTGGTGTGGGCAACTCTCCTTAAAACTGATTGATAGAAACTTGGGTCATGGTGGGCTACTCCCTCATGAGTGCAGGCTACTCTCTCATGGCTGTAGGGCTGCTCCCCTTTGTACCATATAAATTCTAACAAACAACAAATAACAAATCCTGAATATTTATCGGCTTACATGAGTTCCCGATAAATTAGCTGAAGCGATATGCATCAAACTCGCATCACCTGTTGTCGAAGCAAAACCAAATATGGATATCACCCTTTATTCGTAGCCTGAATCCCACCAACAATCCGTTGTGACCCTATTATTTTTTTTCTTGGTTTTGTCTCTCAATGAATGGACCTGTTTTATATTCATTATCACACATATGTGTTTTCTCTCTTGCACACGCTTAATACATTTATCTCCACACTTGTCTGGATTCATGCATGCCTATTTCATCCTCTCCTTTTAGTATGTATGCATGTGTATTTTTCCATGTGCAGCTTTCTACTTCAGTAATGTAGAAATGCGCCTTGTTTACATGAAGTTAATACAGGAAATACCTGCCAATAATAGCCACCAAATCAGTTAACTCACTGGCACCCAGTTCTGATCCATGAATCAAAAACCAACTGTTTCCGCTGGAGAAGCTAGGGTAACCTTGGGCATCGGGCTACTTTCTTTAGTCTAATAAAGTATTAGAGACTGTTACCCAGATTGATTGATTAGTGATCATGACTTGAAGCAGAAGCGGGCTCAAAAGATCAACCTTATGGTTTTTTTTTTGTTGCTATCTGAGTATCTGTTACCATATGTATTACCCCGAAAGTAGATTGATAAAAATGAGTTGATAGCTAGGAACACTAGGGTACAAAAAGGATTTGTATTAGAGTTTATGTAAGTCTATTTCTACGTATAAAAAGAATTCTAGCTGGGGATTTAAATTGGTAGAAATGATCAAGGAGTATCAATTTGTTTACTACTTCGAGCGTAGTACTAGCCATAGGAAACACATGCTTACGCTTGGCTCTTGATCTCATTTTTTAAACAAAGTGGGTCACAATGCTTAGGCTTGAATCTTGTCAACCGAATGCAAGGCAAAGTCCAAAATGTTGTCTAAAAGAAATCATCATAGGGCTATTATTGACAGTCATTTCACATCGTCCTTCTTTGACCTAACATTTTAAAAATGTTCAAGGCATGCAATGAAGAAACTTAATTTTATTAGATAAATCGTTCTTCTTGGCTTACAAGTAGACATATCACTTTATAGGTACAGACATAACTCCTTCAATGGAGATCAACCAGTGGAAATCTTCATTTGGAGATGTTGATATGAACAAATTTGTTCTGATTGCTTTTGATGGGACATGGAAGCATGCGAAGGAAATGGTATGCGCTAGCTTTCCGTTCTTATCAAAGTTTGCCACTCAGGTATGTTTGACTTATGACTTGAATGTTGATGGTGGAACAATTTTTAGTTCCGATCTAATACTTAGGAAGGAACCTTTTGGTGGGTGTATGAGTACCATGGAGGCGGTTGCACGTTGTTTACGAATTCTTGAACCAAATGGGGTCGAGATTGAGTCTAAGGTGATTGGCGTTTTAAGAACAATGGTCAGATTTCAGGCTTCCTTCTTGAAACCCACAAAAACAAGGCCTAAGTTATTGAAGAAGTGTAAAGATTAATTTGAGAATCGTTGACAGTTGAATCTTGTTTGGCAAAAAAAAGTCTGCCTCTTATTAGTTCTAGAACCCTCTGAATGATTTTGTATCTTGGGCCTCCCTAAACCACTAACTGTCCTAATTTCATTCTGAACTATTATCAAGCAACTATATTTCATTTGGTAGTATATCATAAGAGTCTTTTAATCATTCTAACCGCTTAATCATGTTGTACCAAACCATCCCTGACTTCATGGTTTGATCTGTTGTTATACAATTGAAAAGTTATGACCATGTTTTAATAATTTCTGATGCCTGGGTCTGTTTCATACTGGCTACCATTTATTTGACCCTTATTTCCAAATTGTCATCTTTCTTTTCTAGTAAATAACCGAGTGATAATCGTATTTCATTCGGAGTGTGTTCGGGTAAAAATGCATCGCGATATAATAGATGTCACTAAAAGAAAAAAGGGTTTTAGAGAAGGTTTTGTTTTGTATTTAAAGGTATTAAAAGCTTTTCTAAAGACCTTAGAGACCGCTTCTCAAATCGATTAAAAAAGCTTCTGTGTATAAAAGGGTAGCTAAAGGTTTTAGGGGTTTTAAAGGGTATGGTTTTGTTAACTTTTAGAGACGTTTGTTTGCGGGTTCAGATACGCTTTTATAACTTCTCTAAAGATTAGTCCGTTTTTCCAAAAAAACTTCTCTTAAGGCATTTATTAGTGACGTTTTTCAAGTTTTTGGGATGATTTATGAGAGTTACTAAAAGATACCTTCAAAGAAGGTATATGAAAAAGCTATCTTGAAGATACAACTTTATTGACGTTTTTTCTAGAACCTTTTCTAAAGGTGCATTTTTAGAAAGTTCTCTAAAAGGTATCTTTAATTACAATTTAAGGGGAAGTTTGGGATTGCTTATCTTAAACAACTTATTCTTTTTTATAGAAGTCTTTATCAACTTATTATAAGTTAGAATTGTTTAACTTCTTCGAAAGCTTCTTATTACCGGTTTGACACCGGTATAAGCTGTTTATCCGAACACTCAAAAGTGCTTATTACCGATGTCACACCAGAATAAGTCAATAAGTTGTTTTATAAACAATCCCAAACACCCCTTAAAGAAACATCAATTCCTTCTTTAAAGGATATATTGTATATTACTTTCATCTATATTTTAGTTGTATATTTGTCTATAATTATTTACATATATAGTTTAATAAAATAAAATAATAATATTATTATTAATCAAGAATAACTTCATAAAAATCTAAAAACAATAAAATTTGTTAGGGTTGTCATATAAAAGACAATCACTTTTTAGAACAAGCACTAATGTTTAATCAATTCATGCATCCATCCGAATTCATCAAAAAGACATTCATAAGTAATATCAGAATGTTTAACGATCTCGAGTCTCAGAACCATGTTCTCGAACATTTAGTGAAGCTGAAAAACTAGGAAGTGGTTGGCTAGATATACTCGACCTCACTATTTGATGCACCTCAGCCACTTCATCCTTCATACGAAAGAGTTGGATTTAGTTGAAACAAGCTCAGATTTGATTGAAGCAAGCTTGGACTCTGCCGAGACAAGTCTAACAAAGATCTCAATGTGGCTCATTCGATATGAGGGGGGATTTTCTGTTGATCAGGTTTGCCATTTAATCTCTACCATATTCTCATACAAACAAGAAACATGAGTATTCACATATTCATATTTTCATAATACCACTGTTTGAAAAGGCTCGCCGCGACAGTCGCAATAGCACGTCGTGGCTCAAAACTTGTGTCTCACTCCACGTTAAGTCTAAGGCACGTCATGGCGTAATGTGCGGTTTTTGTAACACGCTATTTGATTTTACTTATCTTCTTAATCTCTTGTCTGTTAGTTTGTAAGATATATAGCTTTATTTAAATTGTTTATTATCATCGATTCATTGAGTTAATAGTACAAAAACATATGTTTATGTATACAGTATTATAATATCAAATTACTTATGGTTAATTATAAATTACTCTTTTTTTATTGGATTCATGAAAGGTAAAGAAATTCAAATGCTTTAAAGATGTAGAAAATATAAGAAGGTGATATAATTGCTCATGCATATAAACTTTGCACTAAAATAACATGAAGACACACATTAAGGGGTTGTTTACCAAACGCTTATTAGGTAAGCGCTTAACAGCAAGATCACCATTTTCACTTACCTTGTTGAGTAACATCCCCTGCCATCAAAACGGATTTGTCGTAAGCATTTTTTACGCCATAAGCTCTTACCGTGTCAGAGTCTTCTCCCTCACTTACCAAGTAAGATTTTCGATCCTTGCTATGCCTCTTACCGGGTAAGATTCAAGATCCTTGCAATGCTCATTTGGAAGGAAAGTGATACATGATAATGCTTACCCGATAAGCGTTTAATAAATGACCCATTACACTTGTCATCTAATTTATTTCTCGAAGATACATTTCAAAACCTTCCTTCCCTAAAGCTCTTTTTCCTCCTTGTAGTGTGTATAGTTTAGCTCTCTGTTTGTTGGAAGAGGAATCCATTCTATCATGTTAATTAGTTATTCATGTTGTCACATAAATCTCATATGCTCTTTATCTCTGTCTTAATATGCTCTTTATCCAAGTCCTCTTCTGACTCAGAGTCAGAATCAAGAAAATCTCGTTTGTGACTTGCGATGTTAGAGTTATCATTGAGCTTTTGTGGCAATTTAAAAGATTTAAGAACTCATCTGCATTGATGTTGAAAAAATCTTCATCAGAGAGATCTTCCATTTGAACAAAGTTTTTGAGATTCCCATGGATATATGTCGAATCATCTTCATCTTTTTGCATGGAAGAGTTTAAATCAAGCATTCTGCTCGGGATGATCTCTGGGTCACTTTGTTTAGATACAAAGTATTGATTTAGAGCTTCAAGCAGGTCATGCTCAAAGATCTTTCTCATTTTTTTTTTGTATATTCTAACAGTAAGCCTTCATCCAAAGTTTTTAACAAATCCTTTTCAAAATCTCTTCTTAACCTGATCTCTATTTGTTCAGGGATGAACCCATTAGTCTTAGGATTCAAAGTATTTATTATCAAAACTACTAAATCAGAAAACTTTGTCCTTCTTATGTATGCTTTTTTACATCAATTTGATTGATTTTTGGCAAAGACTTAGCAGAAGTATAGGATATATTTTTAAATTTTAGTTTTCTTGCTCTGGCTCCTACTTCAAACTTTGTTCTCTTGAAAGGTGATGACACATATAGAATTGGAAAGTCTGGATTTTATTCTTTCCCCAAAGAAAATACAGGTTCTAAGATAGATTTCTTCTTGCAGGTAAAGGGGTCTAAGTCTTCAAATCCTAGACCGGTTGTACCCTGCTGAGAATTAATCTTTTCATGCACTTGTTTTGCATCTTGATGTTTTTTTATCAAGAGCTCTGTCTTTTCTAAGCTTTGATGCAAGAATTCTCGTTCCTTATGAAAATAATTTTTAAGAGCAAGAGAATTAGTCTGTCGCATTCCTTTTCTGCAATCTTTTTGTCCTTTTCAACGAGAGCCTTTTTAAGTTCATCACATTTTTACTTGAAGACATTCTATATGGAAGATCTGATTTTTTAAATTCTTTGGTTTTCCACAGAGAGCTCCTCTTTTTCCTCAGTCAGAAGCTCTATTTTTTGTTTATAAATCTTCATTTCTTTCTCAATCAATTTTCTCTTTTCTTTTTCTTTTTGGAGCTTCTGCTGGAGTTTTTCAAAATCATGAGACAAAATAATATATTTTGTTCAAGCTTTGTATAATCATTTTTTGGTGTAGAGAACCTGTGAATCAGAGGTAGACGTGTTTGTCTCATCTTCATTGGCCATGACCATGCTACAGAAGAATGCTTGAGGTTCATCATCAGAAGTTGAGTCAGAGACCCAATTCTCTTGTTTAGCCATTAAGCTCCTCTGTGGTCGGTTATACTTGTACTTGTTTTGTAGTACAGAGCATCCTTCACCAGATGCCCTTTACACTCGGCAGTAAAGTGACCTGGCTTCCAACATCTATAGCATTTGTCATTTTGCTTGAGTTTTTAGGTTTCTCTTCCTCCTTCACAAACTGTGGAGGAACCTGCTTCGGCTCATACACTTGCTTCTTGAACCTGTCATTCTTTTCCTCTCTGCCTCTTCTATCAACCGATTTCCTTTCAAACTTTCTTGTAAACACCTTAGTGATGAGAGCCAAGGATTGTGCAAAAGCACTAATGTCATCGTCATAAGAGTCAGATGCTCTGTCCTCTTCATCATTTCTACAATCAAAACTTTATTTCCTTTTTTCTTCTCTGCATGTACTCTCTCTGGTCTTCTTCTCTCTGGATGGCCTTGTAAAATTGGTCTCGTTGGCATCAGAGACCAGAGCCAGAGGACCACCCAGAGTTGCTTTCTTCTTCTGAACCTCTTTCTCATGGGCATGCAGGGTACCATATACATCATGCAACATCCACTGTTCCAAGTCCTAGTTTCCTTGCAACGGCATAGACAGATTTGCCCATTCTTCATTCAGCCTTTTCAAGAACATCATATTGATCTCTTCCTAGGTTCTAATCACATCACACTTCTTGCATTTGTTAATGAGTGTGTTGAACCTATGATAAGTTTGTTCCAAGGACTCATCAGGAAGAGCGTGAAATTTGTTATATTCGTTTAAACATTGGGCACGTCTATTCTTCCTCATCTTGATTCCACCTTCCAGTTGATTGGCAAGTTGATCCCACAAATCCTTGGCAGATTCACAAGCATCCAAGGATTGGAAGATTTCATTGGAGATTGCCATGATCAGTAGCCTTTTGGCTTTTTGATCGATTTCGATTCTTCTTTTGTCTTCATCATCCCAATCTTTCCTTTCCTTAAGGATTTTGATTGCTGGGATCTCAGCAGTGGTAAGTGTAGTAGGCACTCTTGGAACAACAATAATTGGAATGTATGGACCATTTTTAACAGACTCAAACAACTTAAGATCTAGACCTTCAATAGATGTTAATCATGCAAATTTTCCATTAGGCATATTCATCCCTGAGAAGAGTAGGGGGTCTGGCGAATGAACATGCGCTATACATAGCATTCCAGGTCGGATTTGACATTTGGGCAGAAAAGAGGGTATGAAAAAGAATTTTTAAGCTAAGAGTGACAAGGTTTAAAGCAACAAAATTTGATC